GGGGGTCCCTGCGCAGCTTGGCCAAGGCTGTGCAGGTGACAGGACAGGTCACCCTTACCTGCCACAGGATGCTACAGGTCCTCTGGGTTCTCCCTGTGCCCAGAAGACCCAACGGAGGATCCAGCTCCTAGCCCTTTGCTTCCTAGTGAGATACTCCAACCCACTGAGCCAAACCAGGTGCAGAAAGCGAAACGAAACAGTGCTTCTTTTTGTCACTTAGGACTGAGGAGAGAAAAGGCACGAAACATGGAAAAATTCTATTAGAATACTTCTAAAAAAGAAAAACTGCCCTTTAAAAAAAGCCTTGTGTTTCGTGTCCCTCAAAACTCTTTGCTGGTTTTTCTGTCATAGGTGTTTGTAGCACAGGACATCTTACTCACTGTTTTGCTGGATGAGGAAGAAGATCCAGAAGCATATCTCCTCACTTGTGGCACTCAAAATAGAGTAGAACCCCCCATATCCACTGGGGATTGGTTTCAAGCCTCTACGGATACTGAAAACTGTGGATAATAGTGAATGCCATGTATATCACATGCTAAAAGGGGGGGGGGACAGGGAAAACATTTTCACACGCATTACCAGAACTAGCCACTAAAGGGTGCCAGAGACTACACGATGTATTCTTCACTAACAGGTACAGTATTTATAGCATAGTCTCTAGTGGCCATTTCTGGTACTATATGTGAAATTAGTTTTTTTCCTGGTTTTTTTATTTTTTATTTTTTATTTTTGCTTTGCTTTTAATGTTTATCATATTTTTAGTCCATGAATAGCTGAATAAGTGGACACTGATCCCATGGCTAAAGGCCTTACTATACAACAATAAATAACACTACAAGTACAGTGAAGCATAACAATTCACTGTTAAATATCTCGTAACAGTTTATTGTCCTGGGTGACCAAAGGACACCTCCTTCAATCACCGGAGGTCTTCTGATCTCTCTTTCCCCGGCCTTTGGAATTATATCCACCAGAGGACAAGAAGAAAGCGACTCTTCTCCCCTGAGAGGCTCCTCCCAGTTTCGTTGGACAACAATTCCCATCATCCCTAGCAAACTCTGCCAAGGGCCACATTGATTGTAGATGCTAGGCACGGTAGTGTGACACCTCCAGAGGGCTGGGCTAGAGAAAGAGCTAGAAGGAGGGTTTTGGCTTCTGTCCCCTTCCCTCCTGTGGGCTGCAAGAGAAAGGAAAGCACATAATGCAGAATAACGAAGGCAAACGAGTGGGGTTTGACTGAGGCCCTGGGGTGGTTGTTTTGGGAAAGTTCATTTCCCTGACATGGCACTTAATTTGGCTTCTTTTCAGAAAGCGTGGGCACCTGTCCGTGTGCCTTCCAGTCTGCACAGAGCCATTTTTTGCCTCGAGAACATTTATTCCCAACATGCTAGCCATCGATTGTTGGAGTTTTTAGAACCTGGCATGCTGACTGGCAAAGGGTTAGGCTGGGAGGGACCTTTCTGGCTGCAGTGACGGTCAATCTGCCCAGCACTAACCAATCGGCCCCTCCTGTCTCTGCTTCAAAGAAAGCCCTGCCTCTCTGCTGTGTTATTTCTCCTCTCTGTTGCCTTTTGGTAGTCAGCAGTCTGTTGAGGTCTGTTGCTGAAAGCAGTCACGTTTGCCAGTTTGCTGCTTGATCCCTTCCACTGTAAGTAGTGCAAACTTTCATTCTTTCTCCTACTAATGTCTCAGAGTGAATTACTGAGACTGTACATTCCAAGTTAATAAATAAGGGGTGGTCAGTTCTGGAGAACTTGAAGTTTTCCTGCTCTGTGAATCCCTCCACTTCTGCTGGGTAGATCATGGAATTTAACCGAGATTTCAAAACTCTGCAACATCTATAACCCTGAGGCTCTCTGTCAATTTGCTGGTCTCCTTCCTTTGTGTTCCCAGGGATTCGTCTCTCCCATTAAGAGGCTGGTTTTCCCAAAGGCAGCCCGAAAGCAGGCTCTGAGGATTAGCAGCGTGTACCGGCGCCCTCTCCACTCAGTCCTTCTGTACCCTCCGGATTACCTCATTGACCCCCAGATCCTCCTCCATGACTATGTGGAAAAGGAAGTGAAGGTGAGAGGAGCAAAGGAGTCTTGAGCCGGCTTCTGCATGCTTTATTTGCTGGTATTCACATCGTGGCTAAGGACCAAGGTAGACATCCAACTGACCTTTATTTTGGCTAGAAAACCCACACTGTGGCCACCTGGGAGCCCTTCTGCAAGCCAGAAGGGATTATCTGCATGTGTGGAACAACAACTCCCATCAACCCCAGCCAGCACAGCCATATGGAGGGATGCCCTCCTAATATAACTCGCATAAAACCTCAAGCAGGACCACCAGGATATGATCTGAAAGCAGAAGTGCTGATGGTTCTGACAACTGCAAAGGATTTATTCTGATGCATTAGAAAAAATAGTCCATTCAAGAAAGACATAGGCTGGTTCTCTTTTAATTAATAAAATGCCTCCAGCCCAGAAAACATGTCCATGATCAGACAAGATGGTCATGTGCTCAAAACAAAAGACAATGGGCGACATGCTTGTTGTTAAATAGACAAATCTGCAGTTGCTTATTGCTTTGTGCTAAGCTAAGCGACAAAAAATGCATCAGCCCATATCCTGTTGCTTAGTATCGTAAATTGTCCTAGAGCAGGCCCATTGGATCTCAGACTGCAAAGCTTCTCTCTGAGAGCCAGGCCCCCATCAGGCAGGCCATTTGAACAGTTTAACTTTCCTACTTCACTTATACCGATATGTATTTATGTACAGTTCCATGGTATATAAATCGCTGGCAGGGTTCACACATTTTGATACGTTCCTTGAACTTTGAACAAATTTTGCAGGCTATGCGGGGCATGACTCATTTTCCGTCCCATTTGAAGCACACGCTGCTCTAAAAGTGCTTTGTTTTACTTTATCTTTTGCCCGACGCACCTGTTTATGGCTAGAACAGCATCTACGTTCATGTGAGAAATTTTAGAAGGCAATATTGGAAGAGGTTTCATCACTCAAAGTTTCCCTTGGCAGTTCTTTGGGGTTTTTTTGGGGGGGGGCGCCTTGTTTCTAAAAAAGACACCAGGCAGGATGTTTCTCTGCGTTGGCAAGGAAAAGCTTGAGTGGGGATGAATGTTACAACGAGGAAGTGACACGTTAAACTCTTGGGGAAAAGAGAACACCGATATATCGCTTAGCTTTCGGGGGGGGGGGTTAAAAAAAAGAACAAACAGAGTGGCCGTGCTGAGCCCAGGGCACCAAAAACACAACTGGGAGCAAAGTAAATCAGCAGCACTGTTTACACACACCACACTGATGTGGATAGAAGCGATTCAGGGATTGAATCATTTCTCAAAGCCCAAGCCGACAAGGTTGGAAAAAAAAATAGATGGGTTGGCCAAATGAACTGATCTTACTCATGTGAATGGAAATTTATAAAACTATTTAAGTTTTATAAACAAGTCAGGGATCTAGATTGTTTTTGTAGATTGTTTTCATTTTAACTGTATTGGGTTTTTTTGTTCGTTTCAACTGAATTGTTTTAATTGATGTTGGAAGCCGCCCGGAGACTCTTGCGGAGTGCGGGCGGCGCACAAGTCAAATGGATAAACAAATAAGATAAATAAATAATGGCAGAATAATCGATATAACTTCGGTTCTTATGGTCTGTGTAACTATGACCTAGGACAAACAGAATTTGGTGGGATCCTTCTAAGCAGACTTGCCTACCATTGCATTATCAGCCTCTTGTATTTTAGGTGCTTTGACTTGATCGTTAATGCTTGGCAACATAAGAAGTTGTCATATACGGGGTCAGAGCACCACTCCTTCAATCACCCCACTGGCTGCTGCTCTCTTGAGTTGCAGGAACAATTTTTTCGCCCAGCTGGGCCTTGCCATGTGGCCTTCGGCAGGCCATGCCAGAACTCCACCACTTAGCTATGCTTTACACCGGCTTTGCAGTTTTAAGGGCTGTAAAGGTAAATCGTTCATGTGTTGTAGAATCAATGGTGATATATTTTATTGGTGTGGCTTGTGTGTCATTTTACAGCTTTTAAGAAGTGATTTCCCTTTGGAAGATGTGCCCTACAAGCTGTTGAAGTCTGTTCAAGCTCGTAAGAAAAGAAGGAACCCAATTTCTCATAAAAGCCGAATCTCGTCGCTCCTTGTCCAACCCACATTCTGTTGAAAGAAAGATCCATAGCTTTATTTGTATTTGAACCGTTTGAGCTTTGAAAGTAGAATAAAATAAAGCAAAACAATAAAATAAATCACTAGCACAACTGACTCTGATCGAAGATCTTCCAAACCCATGAGACACACACACATCCCTCTAGTGCAGATTTTTGCTATGGCAATTCTGTGCCAGTCTCATTCCATGACTGTTGCTTTTTTTCCCTCATTTTTCTCTTGGTCTCCAGTTTTTAGGTCACCTGACTTGGGTCAACACTTCCTTGAACCCTTCCAGTCGTGATGAGCTTTTGCAGCTACTGGACACCGCCCGGGTAACCGCTATTTCATCACACGTTGATGTTTTTTAAATTAGCAGTAATGTACCTGGAATGAAAGTTGCCCAACAGGATATTAGATGCAGGGCCAATGAAGTATTAAGGGAGCCAGAAGTTGCAAACAGTTGGCCAGCAACAACCACACTGTGGGGCAGGCAAGTTCAAAATAAACATGCTTTATTGCAATAAAGCAGTGTTATTTTCATGCTGGAGATATATATATACCACTGGGCATATCCCTGAGCAGACACACCTAAAATGGTCCTGTGTCTGGTAGGGAAACATCCAAATTAGTTAAGAAGCACATCTGCTCCCACTCACATTGCTGTGTCCCTGCCCCATGTCTGTAGTGTTTCCCACGGCTTCAGGGACCATTTTTTAAAACTGGAATTTGATCCCTGGGCCAAAAGTGGCTCTCCTATCCCCTCTTTATCCAGAATGAGCATTTGACTGTCTGCTTCCTTATACAGTAGGACCCCCTTATCCACAGGGTCAGTATCCACTGACTCACTTATCCAGAGTCTGAAAATATTAAAAATATTAAAAGAAAAAAAATCTATTTTTTACTTGTATTACAATAACCGACCACTAGAGGGAGCCAGAGGCCATGCTATGAATACTTGTTCGTGAAGAATACAGTACTGTATATAGTGTAGAATGGTCTCTGGTGCCCCCTAGTAGTCAATTCTGGTAAAGCATATGAAAATAATTTTTTTCTAAACCCCACCCCCCTTACCATGCTATACAGGCACTCCTCACTTAATGGCCAAGTTCTGTTCTTACAACTAGGTCGTGAAGCAAAATGGTCAATAAGTGAGGATCAACCATATTGTATTAAGGAGTAATAAATCACATGCCGTTGAGAAGGGGTGTGACGAAGACACAAGCACAGATTTCCGAGGGTCGTAAAGGGTTGTCAATCTGAGCGGTCATTGAACCGGTAGGTTATTAAGTGAGGAGTGCCTGTACAGTCAAAAATTATTATTATTATCCACAGTTTTCAGTATCCACAGGGGGCATGAAGCCAGCTGACCCGGCCCCATGAGTAGGGAATGCGATCCTCCCGTCTCTTCCAAGGGTGACGAGGGTGCCTGTACAGTCAAAAATTATTATTATTCTCCACAGTTTTCAGTATCCGTAGTGGGCTCAGAGCCAGTCCCCCGTGGATATGGGAGCCCTACTGTACAGTCCAAAACTGGGATGGGCCTTGAAATTGGAACATCTGCCTGTTCGCTTTATTGGGCTTCCCTTGCATTCTAGATTTGTTGACCCAAATCATGCTTGCTTCCACCAGCAGGTGGGTCCAAATCATTTCCGAGGTCACGCCTTCTGTGGCATCACAAGGACCCACACTCCAGTCTCCTCTGGTGGCCTTGAAATCTCTATGAATGAGACCCGGCCCCATGAGTAGGGAATGCCATCCTCCCGTCTCTTCCAAGGGTGACGAGATGGGACAGGGGGCTTCTGAGCCCGCTCCAGAGAGCTTGGGAATGTAATGTTTTTTTCCATAGTCACCAGAACTTCAAGTGCGGGTCCAAGAACACACAAAACTCCTCCAGCATCTTCAGGCCCTGCTCAGCAGGTTTTCCTTCTGCTCGGCTTTTCTGCAGCAACTCAAGGAGCTTCCTTCGAAGACGACCCCCGAGCAGGACAGCATCCTGAGCCTCTCCGCCCGCTGCCTGCTCCTCACCTGGAGGGACAACGAGGAGCTCATCTTGAGGATCCCCACGCACGAAATTGCGGCTTGCTCGTACCTGCGGGATGACGCCCTGCACCTCCTGGTGCTCAAAACAGGTATGGATTGCCCAGTGGTTTAAACCTCTGGCTTCTGAGTCAGCGGCCAGCCGTTTCATTCCCTACTGCGCAGCTGCACAAAGTCCCAGGACACTCTTGGGAGAAGGGACGGGGGGAACCACTTCTGTGTATTCTCTACCTGGCATACCCTGAAAAACGGTCTCTGTGAGTCAGAACTGCCTTGACAGCACATGATGATGATGATGATGATGATGATGGGGCGGGAGGGGGGCTCAGTTCCACAGACTGGGCTCTGGGCAGGAGGAACCCCGCAGTGCCACACTTGATCCAGCATAAGGTGGTGGTGGTGGTGGTGGTGGTGGTGGTGGTGGTGGTGATGGTGGGCTCAGTTCCACAAACTGGGCTCTGGCCAGGAGGAACCCCACAGCGCCACACTTGATCCAGCATAGCCTGGAGTTACACATTCAAAGTCCTGGTGCACCAAAATCCTGGTGCCGTTTCGCTTCATGGTGCAGTGGTTCAACTGCAGTATGGCCGTGAAGACTCTGCTCGCAACCTGAATTCGATCCTGGGTTCAGGTTTATGGTGCCGTTTCGCTTCATGGTGCAGTGGTTCAACTGCAGTATGGCCGTGAAGACTCTGCTCACAACCTGAGTTGGATCCTGGGTTCAGGTTTATTTTATTTCTTTCTTGGATTTCCATCCCCCCCATCTAGACCAAAGGTCTACTCTGGGCGGTTTATAAATTTAAAAGCAATAAAACCCAAAACATATATTATAGGTCGAATATGGTGAAGTATAAGAAATTAAGATATGGCAGGAAGGAAATTCTGCCCAAATAGCCAGGTTTTAAGTCTGTTCCTGAAAACACTCAGAGAGGGAACCAGGCAGATTTCTTCTGGCAAGTTGTTCCAAAGGCGAGAGGCCACCGCCGAGAAGGCCCTGTTCTTTGTTCTTTTCTTATGGACCCTCCTTGGCGTTAGGGCCCCTCAGCCGCCCGGCCTGGCCGGAATGAGGTTGCCAGCTCAAGTCTGACCCAGCCTTCCATCTTTACGAGGTCTGTAAACTGAGTACACAGCAAGTTGTGGTTCTCAGAATTATGTTGCAAATCCCCCAGAGAGTGTTATATGTACTGTGGGGCAGTACATAAGCAGCACACCTTGGTGTGTGTGTGTGTGGTTGCTTTTTGGTTTGGCTTTTTGTATTATTTGTAGTTTCCTTTCGGCCATTTCGTGTGTTGAGTATTTTTATTCAGCAACGGGACTTTGGCTGTGGGGCAGTACATAAGCAGCACACTTTTGGTGAATGGTGGCTGCTTTTTGGTTTGGCTTTTTGGATTATTTGTAGTTTCCTTTCGGCCATTTCATGTGTTGAGTATTTTTATTCAGCAACAGGACTTTGAGGTTAAGAGGAAGGAAAAACAGCATGGAAGAGGAACCTGACCTTTGCTTTCATCATCTTCTATAATATTCCAAAAGGAAGCATCGGCAGTACTAATAGTCCCTTTGAATAAATGGAAGGAGCCCCGATCTTCGGTGTTCATCCATCGTTGCCTTCCCCCCGTTTGTGGAATCGACACGGCTATTCTAACAAACCCCTGGCTTGATCCCCTCTTTCCCCTCTGGCCCTTTTCCCTCGCTGACAAATTGGGGTGGGGTGGGGGGGAGGAATAAAACAAAATTGCTCCAAAAACATGCCCTTTTTTGTCCTGCACGAAAGTGATGCATGAAGGAATGAAAGACACCCCCCCCAAAAAAGACATCCTCGTGCCAAAGAAAATGAACCAAAACTTTGCCTATACAGTATTTTTATTTCAAGGCCATGCATTTGGGGTTATAAAGCAGTATAACTGTCAACCCCATAAGATTTTTCCAGACCTGCTTCTTTTCCCTTCCAGCTGAGCCAGTTCTGAACATTTCCGTGTGGGGCGAGGAAATGTTCTACAACTTTGCTACCTAGAGTACGTTATTAAGATATTATTAAGATATTAAGATAGGAATCGAACAACCAAACTCCGGCTCTGCAGCTAGACGCCCTAAACCCCTGAGCGATCCGGCAATGATGTGATTATTATGCGGATCAGTAGGCATTCAGGTTTCCAGTCTGGAAGGAAATGAAAGGGATGGAGATGAGTTGGCAAACTCTTTTGGTTGAACGATGAAAGATTATTTTGCCAGAAAGATTAAGGGTTCCCTTGACAATTTTTGTCCAGTCGTGTCCGACTCTAGGGGGCGGCGCTCATCCCGCTCTTCAAGCCATAGAGCCAGCGTTTTGTCCAAAGACAATCTTTCCGTGGTCACATGGCCAGTGCGACTTAGACACGGAACGCTGTTACCTTCCCACCGAGATGGTACCTATTTATCTACTCGCATTTGCATGCTTTCGAACCGCTAGGTTGGCGGGAGAAAATGAACCAAAACTTTGCCTATACAGTCTTTTTATTTCAAGGCCATGCATTTGGTGTTATAAAGCAGTATATTTTGCCAGAAAGATTATACGTATTTTTAAAAAACAAAATTTAAAAGGTGTGTGCTGCAATAAGGGAAGATAACTAAAGGTAGAAGGTGTTGTAGCTTCGTCCGATGGTTCCTTGGCCAGCCTGAAGACAGAGCCCTGGGAGAGAAGGTACCCGGGCAAAGGTTGTCCAGATGTAGGACAGGTGAAGCTGGAAGAAGACTCCCTGGGAGAGAAGGTACCCGGGCAAAGGTGGTCCTCCTGATGTAGGAGAGGTGAAGCTGGAAAAAGACCGCAGCTTCATCACCACCTCAAACGAAAGGTGGTCCAACTTCTTCCAGGCCAAGAGCGCCCTCTCCTGGTGCCTGAGATAAGTACAGTACTTTGGTTTGGCTCCAGGTTGCCAGACTTACAGGGATGCGTGCACCCTCTCCCCCCCCTCTCACACCTCCCCCAACTTGCCTGGCTGGGAGATAAAGAGAGTCCCAACCTTAAACACCTGGAGGGTGGCAGGTTGGGGGAAAACTGAGGTGGTAGAAATCAGGAGTTCCTGTGCTCTCCCGTGTTCACAAATGTACAAAATATTGGATGGTTTAAGAGCAGTGCTCTCTGGAACAGCCCAGTCACACTTCCTAGGGAAGGAAATAATCCGTTAGGAAAGAGGGAGAAAGATCCAACGGGCATGTTTTTCAAAAAGCTCTCCATTCTGCTTTGCCTCCTCGGTTTGCCAGAACAGAGTCCTGTTTCTCTTCTCCCCCCTCCCTTTTATCTGGGGCAAATTGCAAGCCAAGCCCACAAGGAAGCTGGCCAGAAAGGGTCCAGGGATGTCTTCTATGTTTAACGCTTGACAGCAGAGAAGCGGGGTAGGGTGGGGGGAACGTGACCATACCTACTGACATGAATCTGGGCTTTGCAGATGCTGGGTTCAGCCCTGAGAAGTGTGTGCTTTCCAAATTCCGTCACTTTTGTCCCGTCTCCTGGAGAGAATTTGGCGCTGGTTTCTGAAATCGGGAAAATGTCTGTGTCTCTGCCTGCTTTGGGCCGGGGGTGCGGGGGGTGATAAAGGAGCTGTGTTGTCTCATTTGTTGTTGTTGTTGTTGTTTAGTCGTTTAGTCGTGTC